GCCTGATTCAGTAATTGCTAAAAATAGTGTTGAAGCCTCTGTTCCACTTAAGAGACCATTTATATATAAATCATTTCATCCAGAAGGACAAATCATTGGGAATAAAGACGAGCCATTGCGAACCAGATCTGCCTTAAGGAATGGTCAATCAATGTTTGGACTTCTTTATAATGTGTGGTCCTACTTCTGAAGTTACTCCTACTAGTCCTATTACCTACTTCTATTGATGATGCCTTATTAGATTATGGGTGGATTGTAGCTATGCAAGATGAACTAAATCATTTTCAAGGAAATCATGTGTGGGATCTTGTTCTAAGACCACAGATGAAAAACATCATTGGAACCAAGTGGGTCTTTCGTAACAAGCTTAACAAACAAGGAGAAGTCGTAAGAAACAAAGCCAGACTTGTAGCTCAGGGCTATAATCAGCAAGAATGAGTTAACTTATTTGAAACCTTTGCTCTTGTGGCAAGGTTAGAAGCAATTAGACTATTTCTTTCTTATGCCGTTAATCACAACATTGTCCTTTATCAGATGGACGTCAAAATTGCTTTTCTGAGTGAAGTTAATACTGAAAAGTTATATGTCAATAACCTCTTGGATTTGAAGATCCAAACCATCCATACTTCGTCTACAAGCTTAAGAAATCTCTCTATGGATTCAAACAAGCTCTAAGAGCATGGTATGAGAGATTGAGTAATTTTGTGCTTAAGAATGGTTTCTCTAAAGGCAAGGTTGACACTACACTATTTAGGAAAACTCTAGAAGAAGAACTCTTGATTGTTCAAATTTATGTTGGTGACATAGTTTTTGGTCCACAAATGCATCTCTTTGTCAAGTTTTTTCAAAGATTATGCAGGCTGAATTTGAGACGAGCATGATGGGTGAACTAAAATACATTATTGGAATTAAAATTAATCAGAAGAAGGAAGGTATATACATTCATTAGTCAAAGTACATAAGAGGGATCTTGAAGAAGTTTAATCTTGATGAATGCAAAGTCACGTTAACTCCTATTCATCCTACCTGCAACCTGAATGGTGAAGAATGCAACACCAAAGTGAATCCAACTAAATATCGAGGTATGATAGGTTCCTTACTCTATCTCACTTCTTCCAGACCAAATATTTTATTTAGTGTATGTTTGTATGCAATATTCCAATCATATCCTAGAGAAACTCATTTAACATTTGTTAAGAGAATCTTTAGATATTTGAAAGGAACTATCAATCTTGGACTTCTTTATAAGAAATACTCAGCATCTCCTTAAACTTGGAAAACATTCTTGCCTCATCTTCATGAATAGGTTTCCTCTTTATTACTGGGTATAATGCTTTTGTGTAATCCGGTAACTCTGGATTAGGGTCATTAAGGATTTACTTCTTGGTTCTTCTCCAAGGGGAATTTTTTATTATTAATTGATAAATGGTGACTCCTCTATCTTATTCGTCACCCTGAATTTCACTTTCCTCCATTCCAATCCTTAATTCTCCTTTTCCCATTATCACCTCTTCAATTATTTCATCCTAACCCTTATCAGTAATCACTTCAAAACCTGTTTCCACCGCCTTGCAAGACTCATTCTTAGAATTATCTACCGTATTACCTGAGAATCCTCCACTTGAGCTTAGCAAAACAACTATTTATCTAGACAACTCACCAATCTGCACTCCAAAATTTTGATGGATACATCGTGGTTTCTACTCATGGTCTTAGGATTCTTATTTACCTAATCAAAGCTACTTTGAGCGACGTTGAGGAAGTTTTGCAAGGTTTATTCTAACGGTGAATGTTTTCTTTGGATTGGGGGCTTGCTGGTTTGTTTTCATACCTTGATTTCTACTTGGGTTTTGGTTATTGCTCTATCAGAAATCCAGGTGATCCTTCCATCCCGGATTGTAAGTGTTGGAGTAAGGACTATTCTTTTAGAAATTGGTAAATTTAGCTTCCCCGCTTGGCTCTTCTAACAGACATCTTCCGTTAGCATGTCCTCCTTCATATGAATCACACCTAAGTTCTTGTACTTGGCTCACATTAGCTTTATTTAAGCTGCTTTCAACCAGCTACTTATTCAATAATTCCATTTGAGCTAAAAGAGCAGTTTGAGTAACAACAGCTAACATACCTTTAAGGGTGCCCACCGTTTCACTTTTTATTGGCCTTTCACTCTTAGTTTGGTACTTATTCAAGCACATATTCTCAATTAGATCTTTAACTTGAGGTTCGGTCATTTACCTGATCGTGCCTCACATGGAAGTATCTAGCAACACGTGTGTCTGACTCTTGAGGCCTTTAATGAAATTTTTTATCTACTTCATATTATGATTTGAGCATGTGCGTAATAATAATTTGAATCTCTTCCATGAGTCATACAATGATTTTGTGTCTTGTTGCTAAAAATTCATAATTTTCGCTCTTCTTTCTGTAAACTGGTTGGTGGTGAAAAATATTTATTAGAACTTATCCTCCAACTTCTTCCATGTTCGAATGGTTCCATTTGAAAGACACAGTAACCAGTCTTTCGCACTTCTAATGAGTGAGAAACCAAACAACCGTAACTTCACTCTGTCTTCTGTGACATTATTTGGTTTGTACATCAAAGCGATTTTGTAGAAGCGTGCAAGATGAGCTCACATATCTCTGATAGCGTTCCCACAAAACATATTTTCTCTTAAACATGAAAGCACATAATTTTTAATATCAAAGTTAACGGGGTCTTCCAGTACAAACCCACTAGAAACATGTCCATCGTCGGTCCTTTTACAGTAATCCCCCATAGTTTGAGGTGTTGGTGTTGCCATGGTATCATTCTCTTCAATGCCCGAAGAAAGCAGTGGTGGATCTTCTTCTGGGGTCCCCTCGGCCAAAATTGTTTCTCTAACTGCTTTTCTGAGAGCACGTGCGGTTTTTTCAATTTATGGATCAAATGATATTAATGTCGATCCTGAATTGTGCATACACAAAAAGAAAATACCTCAATAACACTACGATGAACAAGAAACAAAAAGCAATAAAAAATAAAATAAAAAATAAAACCTTGCAGAAGCATTGCCCTTTTGCAATCAACAGTCCCTGGCAACATCGCCAAAAACTTGATGACTTCTCGGCAAGTGTACCGATAGTGTTAATAATTAAGATCGAATCCACATGGATTGTGTTTGAACAAGATAATATTTGTGCAACGTAAAGAAAATAGTAAGGGGGTTCAGTTTGCAGTACGAAAAACAAAATAAGAGTTTTAAAGCAGAATTACAAAAGCGGTCAGGTTGTGTAGTGAATCCATATTTCTTTATTGTTGATGTTTGATGCCTTGTATTAATGATCCTATCATTATATTCTCATGCCGAATTAACAAAGTTACTATAACCGATCCCTCGCAAAATAACTCACTAATCACTACTCGAGCTTCCTATCCCTAATCCACCAGCGTAACCAGAATTAGGCGATGTACAGAGAGTTAATTCCCTATGCCACTACTCGGGGTCTCTTATTCCTATTCAACCAACGTAAGTATCACAATTGTCCTAGGTCAAACACATAGGCTAAGGGTCAATATTCCCTATGTACCCACAATCAATTTAAAAGAGTATCCTACATAAAAAGCTTTAAGAACAAGAAACAGTTGCATAAAATTATATATCAAAGGGTTCATACAAAGTCAAATCAACATATAATTCAACAATATTGAAACAGGTTCATCACACACAACCTAACCTAGAGGAGTTTAGCTACTCACACTCAAAATACAATATCAATTGAAATAAGGAGAATAACAAATGATTTTCCTTGAACGATTGACCTCCAACGGCTTCAAATGCTCTTAAATCACCCTTGATGCTGTAAAAATCGTACTTGCAGTGCCAAAATTAGTAACCTTTACAAAAATGCATAATTTCCCTTTAAAAAGAGCTCAGAACAGGTCAGAATGCGTTAGGAAAAACCCATAAAAAGGCAACATCACGCGCGTGATGCAACTTGTACATATCTACTGCGCGTGCGATGCTGTGCGTGATTATTCCAATAGCTGCATGTTTTTGCTTTCTTTTCACATGATTTTTCACTAAGTCCAATTTCTTCACACTTAACTATTTTCCCCTCATTCTTTGGTCTTTCTTCTTCTTTTTGGCTCATCTTTCACTTGTTTTTCTCTGTTTCTTCGCTTAATTTCATGCCATTACGGGCTGTCATCACCTGTGTCTCAAGGAATTTGTACCATATTCTTCTTCCTAACATTTTGGCGATAACTCCTCTTTTCCAAAGTTTCATTGAACTCGGGGAAATCGTATTCTCCAAACTTCCTCACCTCAATCTTTAAGCCTTCAACATCTTTGATTTCGATTTTTACATGAGTTCTTTGGATCTCTTCCTCCATGTAAGTAGAAAATCCTCCCGTGATCATATCTTTGTATGACATAATCACCTTTCTGATGGGATCTTCCAAGGTATTCAATGCTATCTGCATGCTTTTCTAAAGAGATTGTCACTTCTCCCTTATCTTTAACCTTCTTGGTACTGTGCTCCTTCAAATTTTCTCTCTTAAATATGATTTTCTTAATTTACAGAAACAAATCCAGATTAAAGTAAGTTCATCACTAAAAATCCTAACAAAGTAAAATGTTGTAATTATCCAAAATTTCACATATTAAATAATATGAATAAATTAGTATTTTGTGTTTAAATCTGGGCTTTGCAAGGTGATAATTATAATTAAGTTTTATGTAGAATTGGAAATATTTGTATTATAAAAAAAAGTAAAACATGGTACACGAAGTCAAATTTATGAACCGTTTGATCAAGTATGGTGTCTAACATCTATAACTACAAGGGCTCATGATCAAGCTTCATTTATAAAGCAAGAAGACTCAACCATACATGATTAATACTCCTAAAATCCTAAAAACTAAAACCCTACATCTTCATAACTTTCATTTCAGGTTTTACTCCATCCTTCTCTTTTCAACAACTCCATTTCACTCTCAATCGCTGCCATTCCATACAAAATGACAAGTGCTATTCTCAGAAGATCTTCTTCCATATTCTCACGGCGTTTCTTCGCCGCCGTAACTTCCGTTGAACCACTTCTGTCACGTCACAACAACCACGCTTTGTCCTCCGCTGTCTACGGCAAAGGAGACATGCTGTTTCACGCCAAATCTGGACCGTTGAGTTTCCACTCGTCGCCGGTTTCTCGCGGTGCGCAACTTGCCGTAGATTATGATGATGACACGCAAGATGAAGGTGACGAAGGACTAGAGATCGCGAAGCTTGGGATTTCTAAGGAAATTGTGAATGCTCTTGCAAAGAAAGGGATCACGAAGCTCTTCCCTATTCAGGTATGGTTATGTGCTGTGTTTTTCAAATTTCAAAGACAATTATTATTGTAATTATTAATTGAAGTAGTTTATTTCAGTTTCATAAATCTATGCTCTCTAAGGTCATCAAAATTTCAGTTTTAATCTATTATTGTTGTTAATATTATTATCATTCTATTAGAACTATTAGTGATAGTGATAGTAGAAGTATAGAACTGTGCTGAAATGCTCTGATTAATGTCCTGTTATCTTTTTTCAATTTTCATTTTGTTTCAAAAGTTTGGTTGAAAAAGAAGGGAGGTGTTTGCGTTTATATAAATTTCAAGAAAACCAGTTTGTCTGGAATGAATTGATTATCATTCAGAGTTGTGTGTGGTGTATGGTGTGTGGTGTGTGTGCGCGTGTGCGTGTGTCTGTGTGAAGCTTGAACTCCTCTTATTGTTATTGTAGAAAGCTGTGCTGGAACCTGCTATGCAAGGGAGGGATATGATTGGTCGAGCTAGAACAGGAACTGGGAAAACTCTTGCTTTTGGGATACCTATCTTGGATAAGATTATTAAGTTTAATGCTAAGAATGGGTTGGTTATTTTATTGACACTTGCGAAATACTATTAATTGATTCTGTAACCTTATGTTTCTGTTTATTAGATCCCTACTTTTGTCTTTAACTAAGTGAATTTCTGTGGTTAATTTTGGTAGGAAAAGAAGAGATCCTTTGGCTTTGGTGTTGGCACCGACCAGGGAACTTGCACGGCAGGTTGAAAAGGAATTCAATGAGGCTGCACCTAACTTGGAAACAGTTTGTCTATATGGGGGTATGCCTATTCAGCAACAAATCTGCCAACTTGGTGGTGGCGTAGATATTGTAGTTGGCACACCTGGACGTGTTATTGATCTTCTCAAAAGGGGTTCCCTGAAATTGAAGGATGTTAATTATTTAGTTCTTGATGAAGCTGATCAGATGCTTCAAGTAGGATTTCAAGAAGCAGTGGAGATTATTTTGCAGAAGTTGCCTTCAAAGCGTCAAACTGTTATGTTCTCGGCGACAATGCCTTCTTGGATAAAGACTATTACACGCAAATACCTGAACAATCCCTTAACCATTGATCTTGTAAGTATGCAAATCTGTTTTAGGATATTGCAGTTTTCAAATGTCATTTTTATTCAGATTGTAGTCTGGTACAATAACAGCCCAAGGGTTTTATGAGGATTCATTTAAAAATACCTGACAAAAGCTTATTATTCAGACTCCATAAGGAAAAATATTTCCAATTAACAACATTTTCTAAAGGAGGAGTACTTGTATTGTTGTAACTCCCAATTTGAGGTGAAAGTTTAGCGCGTGAGCTTGGAAAATTCACATTGTAATCAAGAAAAGTTCCACTAACAGCCTAGAAGATTTTTGTCTCTGATTATGATGAAACACAAGAAAAAAGGATATAACAAAAGAGAATAATTCATTATCTCAATGAATAAAAGTTCACCACCCTAAGAATAGATGACCTGCAACCACCTTAGAGGTATAGAAGTAAAGAGGATTGCCCCACCCAAGGGATGGATTTTCCCAAAAAGAGCATATCTATGCTATGCATAGGACAATGCTCCTGGCATGGTTATAGATTCTGAATTTTGATATATTTCCCAAAAACTAATAGTTTTTGACTAGATGATACCAAGGCCATACACCATTTTGATTTTTATTAAAGCTTATAAAAAAAAGGTTTCATAACATCACTTGAAAATTACAAAAACAAATTATTGATTTTATATTTTTCAACTTGCTCCAGATATGAACACATTCTGTCTCATCAACTTGCATTCTTGAATTTTATTGGGATTAATAGATGTCCCCAATCTCTACAAGGTGGATTGTGGACACTACTCCACTGTCACCCAAAAATGCAGAGTTAAGTTTGTTAAAAAAATCATTGGTCAGATAGACCATTATAGCTGGGTGAATTTTTAGCAACAAATCCTTTATGTAGAACATTGATGCATATATTTTGATTATATTTGTGGGTTTCAATGTTTGTGTTCTCACCCTTGAAAAGAAATTGTAGGTTTTCCTTTGAGTTCAGATAAATGTTTTCCTGTGTTTCATTATTATGTATATATTTTTTGAACTTTTTCCATGTGCGCGAAATCTTCATTTAATTATTAGCTTGATGTTTAAGTGAGTCTGATGGTTACTGATGTTTTCTTTCCTGACATCTGGAAAGAACAAGTCTGTACTGGTTTTTTCCCAGTACACTTTTTTGAATGATTGTTGTTATTTTATAAAAAAGAAGAGGAGATGATAATATTTGAGATTGAAAGTTAATCTGTTTCAGATTTGATAAGTTATATGAATAATTTTTATATTTGATTTGTAAGAAGTTAATTGGGATCTTATTGGAAATGGTGGTAATGACACAGGTTGGAGATTCTGATCAGAAGTTGGCAGATGGAATTTCAATGTACTCTATTGCATCCAATGCGTATGCTAAAGCAGGAATTCTAGCACCTCTTATAAATGTACGACTTTAGATACTATATTTTCTCATGACTTTTGTGTTACATATGATTAACAATTGTTACTGTCTATTGTCACAATTTATTATAACTCACTATTTAAAAATTTGTTTGCTTACTAAAGTGATTGGAGTTGAGTTTGTCTGGGATATATTTGTCTCCATTTCTCTGCGTTAATGCAAACGCTAGGTGGGCAATCTTGTAACTCTACTGGCTTTGTTGTCTTAACGATTTATCCTCTGATAGGAACATGCTAAAGGAGGAAAGTGTATTGTTTTCACTCAAACCAAACGTGATGCTGACCGACTATCACATATAATTTCAAAAAGCGTTAAATGTGAAGCTTTGCATGGAGATATTTCACAAACTCAGAGAGAAAGAACTCTTACTGGCTTTAGAAACAACTATTTCAATGTTTTAGTGGCAACCGATGTTGCTTCCCGTGGGCTTGATATACCAAATGTTGATCTTGTAAGTTTAATCTGCTAAACTTTTTGTTTGAAATCATATATTATCCTATCAAGTACAACGTTTAGTTTCTGCATGATGGTACCTCCATTCCTATGTCCTTTGGGGAAAATATTTGAGATAGTTTATTAACTACATTTGGCTATGGTGTGTCGTAGTATATGGGGAGGGGTGCGGCAAAAAGAAAGTTCCTATAGGAGTGGGATATTTCTATTTTGGAGTTTGAACTTTCCAAAAGTTTGAGTAAAAAGGAAGTTATATGATCATGTTTCTTATTTGAGTAGTATATCTACTCAAGCTTGCTTGGGCTCATTGGTAAGTAGCTAATAACTTACTTTAAGCATTCAACAATTCATCATGACTAATAACTTTACACTCATTCAGCAATTTGTCTATAATCTGAAAGTTGTTTTCTTAATATGATATATCTGTGTATATGTAAACACTTTGTCATTCACCTCAGCATCTATTGTTGCTCAATTTTTAATTATGTGGGTTTTTGATCTGGTTTCTTCATATAGGTAATACATTATGAACTTCCAAATTCTTCAGAGATATTTGTTCATCGAACTGGACGAACAGGACGCGCTGGGAAGAAAGGAACTGCTATTCTTGTCCACACAGAAAATCAATCCAGAGCTGTACAGTCGATTGCACGAGATGTTGGATGTACATTCACAGAGGTGGCCTCTTACTTCCTTTTTATATACATCCTTCTGTATATTTTTAACTTGAATTGGCCTTTTTTTTTTCAAATTTGTTGCTACTAGACAGATGGATAGTCTCTATCATCTTGCCATAAATCCCATCCAGCTCATGTTTCATGCTAAATGTCCATGTTATTAGTATGTGATGGAATCCTGGAAAACAATCGTTATATTTTTTCCAGGGTTTTCTATTGCACCTGTGCACTAGTTTTTGATAAATTTCAAGTTGCTGAATATTAATCAAATCCATTACTGTGTTCTATATCTAAACTGAGTTCTTCCAGTGAATCAATATCCTTAAATTGAGTAGTTAAGCTTATCAATCTTAAGGCTTATGCTGGATGTTATCTTGATAGGTTCAAAGGATTATAGGTATGTATATATATATTTATACATGAATCCAAGTTCTATGGTTTACTTTAGCATTCATAACATAGTTGGTGAAGAGGTAGGGACAGAGCTGCAAAATTCTTTCAAAACGAGTAATAAAAAAACATAATGGGTTTAAAAATAAAATATCATTAATACTTGTCCATTTTCCATATTGGTCAATTTTATTTTCAGGAATTAGTATTAAAATATTAATTAGTACTTGTCCATTTTCCATATGCATTAGTACTTGTTTTGTTTTGAATTAAGTAATTTTACCTCATAAGTTATTGGTCCTGGAAAGTTAAAAGTAAAGAATTGCCAGATCAGAAGATCTTTGTTGTGAGATGTTATGGTAGATGCCAAAAATCTTAAACTGTTTGGGTTCCTTGGAACCACTTGGGGAGTGATTTCAAAAAGGCTGAAGTTCTATACGGTTGCTGGATAATTATTAAGAGGAAATTGAATCTTTTGTCTTGATTTTTAGGAAGTGGAAATAAACCGACATTCCAAGGGTGGACATTTGTTATTAACCTTTGGTGTTGATTGTGGTGTTACAATTGTATCTACATGTCCATATTATACATTCTTTTATGCTCAACATGTTAAACGTAAACTCAAACTTCTTCAATTGTAATTGTTTTCCCCTTATATGCTACTTTAAGCTTTAGGTTACTGATCACTGTGTTTAAATGTTGTGTGATGATTAAATGCTTGCATCTTATCTTATACCTAAATTTTTGTTCAGTTGCCTAAGATTGCTGGTGAGAGTGGATCAGAAGACATGTTTGGTGGCATGAGTGGGAGCCGATATGGCTCTTCAGGAGGTAGGGATCGTCAATCAGGCGGTTCAGGTTTTGGTGGTAGTTCTGGATTTGGCCGAACTAGCAATGGAAAATCCAGTCGCTTTAGTAGCTCTGGTTCAAGTCAGTCAGAAGGTGGATTTGGGGGATTTTCTGGTAAAACAGATAAATATGGTGGTGGAGGATTTGGCAATTCAGGTAGTTCTTGTGGCTTTGGAAAATTTGGCTCTGGTAAATTTGGGTCATATGGGGGCAGAAATTGATGTCAAAACATAGGAGGAGATTAAAGGGGGTGGCTTTGTTGCTGTTGGGGATAACCCAATAATAACAGATAAAATAGAGGAAGACCATTTTAAATCCTGGTAAGTGCACACCATCTCCTATGTTTTGGGTTATTGCATAGTTTAATTTACTAATCCCCTTATCCTTGACATGGAGAAAATCATGGCACATAATAAATTATTTATTCTGTTTTAAGGGGCATTGAATTTTTCTTTCTCGGCGCAGTCTTCAGCTCATCCTGAATTCCATCCATAGATAAGTGGAGGGGGTGCTGTATCCTGTGTTGCACGTTCCTGCCTCTACCATGCATTTGTTTGGATTAGTTTCGTTTATTCTCTTTTAAGTTGTGTGGTAGTTTATAATTCTGAACATGCACCGGGCGTGTGGGGGTAGTCATGAAGAGTCATATAGCAATGGTGATATGTTTTATTTAGTAGTTGTTCCTCAGTATGCAACAGACAGATATACAACATTTCAGAAATAGATAGGGGGGTGTTCTCTTGTTCACATTATAGTGACATTTTGTTATACAGGGAAATTCTCATCGTCTATGTAATATGTGATATTATCAGTAACTCTTATTTTTTTGCTTACACATTATGTTACTTTCAGAATTAATGAATATTCATTGTTCACATTCTGTGTGGTTGTGTTCGAATTATGGGTGTTTAAAAATATGGATAACTTAATTGAAGTGAATTGTACTATAAAAAAAAAAACTTTTAAGTGTTAATGATCTGAACTATTTAATTAAAACAATTTAAATTTAATTTAAAATAGGTTCAGAATGAATTTTTTTTTTATAAATTGGCTTAATTATAAAAATTAATTAATTTTTAATAAAAAGAATAAAAATTTAACTGAGAGTAAAAAAAATTCTGAAAATAAAATTTTTATTTTCCAAAAATTAATAAAAAAAATATTTTTTATTTTCTAAAAATATTTTTTTTTCTTGAAAATAAAACTAATATTATTTTTTCAAAAATACAAAACATCAATTTTTTTTTAAATTAATACAAAAAAAATCTAGTTTTTTCAGAAATATGAAAAAACCGATATATTTTAGAAATATGACAGTTGAATTTTTTCGAAAATATAAAAAAAGTCGAGTTTTTTCGGAAATATGAAAAGGTAGAGTTTTTTTTTTCTTTTCAGAAATATAAAAAAAGTAGAGTTTTTTCGAAAATATGAAAAGGTAGAGTTTTTTTTTTCTTTTCAGAAATATGAAAAAAGTCTAGTTTATTTTTGGAAATATAAAAAAGTCGAGTTTTTTTCGAAAATATTAAAAAATTGAGTTTTTTTTTTCCAGAAATATGAAAAGTAGAGTTTTTTCAAATATATGAAAAAGTTGAGCTTTTTTGAAAATATGAAAAAAGTCGAGTTCTTTCGAAAAATGAAAAAGTAGAGTTTTTTCGGAAATATGAAAAAAGTCTAGTTTTTTCGGAAATATGAAAAGGTCGAGTTTTTTTCGGAAATATGAAAAAGTCGAGTTTTCTCGAAAATATGAAAAAGTCGAGTTTTTTCAAAAATATGAAAAAGTAGAGTTTTTTTGGAAATATGGAAAAGTCGAGTTTTTTCAAAAATATGAAAAAGTAGTTTTTTTTTTTCGGAAATATGAAAAAGTAGTTTTTTCGGAAATATGAAAAAGTCGAGTTTTTTTAGGAAATATGAAAAATTTGAGTTTTTTTTTACGAAAATATGAAAAAGTCACGTTTTTTCAAAAATAGGAAAAAGTCGAGTTTTTTTTTTTATGAAAATATGAAAAAGTCACGTTTTTTCAGAAATAGGAAAAAGTCGAGTTTTTTTAGGAAAATATCAAAAAGTCAAATTATTTTCGAAAATATGGAAAAGTCGAGTTTTTTCGAAAATATGAAAAAGTCGAGTTTTTCAAAAATTTTAAAAAAACAAGTTTTTTCAGAAATATGAAAACGTCGAATTTATTTTTGAAAATACAAAAAAAATCGGTGTTTTCCAAAAACATGAAAAAATCAAGTTTTTAGAAACATGAAAATTCGATTTTTTTCAAAAATAAGAAAGAAGACCTATTTTTTTTGGAAATGTGAAAATATGAAAATATGAAAAAATAAATATTTTGAAGAATATTTAAAAATAAAATAAAATATGAAAATATAAAAATAAAAAACAATTTGATTTAAAAATAAATATTTTGAAGAATATTTTTTTAATATAAAATTAAAAAAATTGGTTTTAAAAGAGTTCAAAATATATAACTGGTTTAAAATTGTAAACCGATTATAAACTAGTTTATAAATATAAATTAGTTCTAAATTAGTTTTAAATTGAATTGAAACCTGTTCTGGATTGAGCCTAAGGCTGACCCACCGTCGGTCACGACTCAATCCAAGTCTTCGTTGAGGAGGGTTCAATTGAGGTCCAACCCACCTGCACGTCCAGGGAGCTCTCACACGTCTCTCCCACGGACTCCACGTGCCCCCACGCGGGGACACGTCATCAGACAACAACCCACTTCCGAAAGAACTGACCAACTCATCTTTCGAAGATCATGGGACAATTGATCCAAGGCGAAGACCACATGCCGGTCTTCCATACACCACATAAGTCGTGACAGTTACTCGTATTGAGCCTTACAATTTAACCCAATGCAAAGTAACCGTTGGCCCTGCGCTGATGACACATTATAAATACCCTCTTTCACTAGAGGGTCAGGTATTCTATTCTCTACACCTTTTCTCTATACTTGTTTTCTCTCTTGCTGAAACTTACTTTGGCATTAGAGTACCTTGCAGGCACACCCCCTCCTCTTCTCCACCACTGGCGAACGAAGGAGCTCATGACGTGTGCTGACTGCTGATCCTTTTTTGATCCGGTAAGATCAGTGGCGCCGTTTGAGGAAACTCTTGCTTCCCCGTTCTTTCTCCTATATAAACCCAAGAACCAAAGTAGTTTACAACCTCCGTTGATCATGACCAGCCCACGCATTGACGACAACGCTCCAGAAACCGCCTTCACTCTGTTCACCAACGGTGACGGTCACGACCCCAACGTGACCATTCACGTCGCCGACACTTTGATAGCCTGGCTGTCTACCAGCCTATCCCTTTGCTGCCTAACGCTGACCCGACCACGGTGGCTCTATTCGCGGCGATCAATTAGACAAATCTGATGATTTTCCAACAAAATAAGCGGATAGGGATACTCGAGAAGGAGCGACAATCACACTCTCCCCCGCAGAGACATCGTCGCCCCGTTTCTCGTAGTCCCTCCCTTCCCCCACGGAGGACACGACACGATGACTCTGGGAGTCCTTCTCCCCGAAAGTCTAGGCGTCGCCCTCGCTTGGAACGACCTCAGCTTGTGGCCACCCAGAAGCGCGACCGATCCCCTCCCTGGAAGGAGCGACACTCCCCTACTCATAAGAGGAATAAAGCTGCTGACGGATGCGTCGAGAAGCCAAAGAGCCGGCCAAGGAGTCCTCCCCGGCGGAGCAGAAACGACCGAGGTGACCTTTCCCCGTCTCGATCACCTGTCAGGAGCGACGAGGACGATCAGTGCATAATGGTACGACCATATTGAAAACATCAATGTGATGCTCGACTACCAGAACGTCCAGGGAGCCATCAAGTGCAGGCTCTTCCCCACTACCCTAAGGAAGGGTGTTATGGTGTGGTACAAGAGCCTCGCTCCCGAGTCCACCACCTCCTGGAAGGAGCTGAAGAGGCAGTTCTCTAGGAACTTCACCTCTCCCTGGTGCCATCCGGAGACGGAAGAATCCTTGGAAGCCATCATCCAGGGAAAAGACGAATCTCTCCGGGATTACATAGAGAGGTTCAACCGAGAAGTTGTCCAAGTATCCACCTCGAACGACATGAAGAGATTTTTGATTGAGCGAGGATTGTGACCTCACACCGAGTTTGCCAAGGCAGTCGACATTGAAAGGCCCAACACCTTAGACGCACTCTTCCACAAGGTCCAGACATACATTCAGTATGAGGAGATAGAGGCTGCCCACTACATCCGCGACTCGCGGAATCAAGAGGGTGCCAAGAGCTCCAGGCACGAGGATTCCACTGCTATCCGACGAGGCGGGGAAAGAAGAAGAGAAGACCGGCCCCGAGACACTCGAGAACGGAGGGGGCCAGCAGGCTGGTTCACTGAGTACACGCTACTCACAGCTCCTCGCGAGCTCATCCTGGCCGAGTCCATTAACTCGGAGTTCCAGCGTGGAGGTGTCCGCTTCCCGAAGCCGACACCCCCTAAGCCAAACGTTGACAAGTCCAAGTACTTCCAGTTCCACAGGAGCCACATGCATGTCACAGAGGATTGAATCCACCTCAAGGATGCCATTGAAATTCTAATCAAAGAGGGTCACCTGAAGCAGTACATAAAGAGGAGCGAATCCCCCCGACAAGAGACTTGGGAGACGAAAAGGGTCAAGGAGGCGACCCCGTCCTCCAGCGACAGCGGGCTACAAGTCGCTTTATGTGTTACCCGACCAGAAGACTTCTACTTCCCCTGCAAGCCTGACACGCATGTAACCGCTCGTAGCCCATGGGAAAGCTTCCCTGCTGCCATGGTCATATCCGGCGGAGGGTTCAACAAAGTCTCGGCGGGGTCGGTGAAATGAAAGTTCGACGAATTGATAGAGGCAAGCTCGGCACAGAACGCCACCTTCGAGAAGGTCCAGGGAAGATCGAACCCATCACCTTCTACCTCGAAGAATTTCTGGGCGGCACCCCTAACTCCAACATCCCCCTCCTAATCAGGGCATAGCTAGAGAACTTTGACGTCCGTCGCATCCTGATCGACCAAGGGACTCAGTGGACATAATGTACGCTCACTTGTTCACAACCCTTCAGCTCAACGAGACACATATGACCCCGTATGTCGATTCAAACTTGTAGGATTTCAATGGCACCACCACCAGATCGTGGGGCTACGTCGAGCTAATGGTCACCTTCGGTAACGACGAGACTGTCTGATAAGTTAAGGTCTGATTCCT